GTATACAGTTACAAACATTCCAGTTAATAAGCTTTGTGACGCTGATCCAGATCTAAACTCGTAGGGTTGAGATAACACGCTCGCTCGAAGTCATCTGGAACTGTATAGAAAGGTTGAAGAAATCTTAGATTTTTTTTTTGACAAAAATTTGCATACTCTTTATTCAGATGTAGCCTATTGTTAAATGTTATCCACTCTGCTGTTTTTGTGTTTAGAACTTTCTTTACTAAAATATTTACATTCCAATACATTATTGTGGATATTTATAGTAAACGAACGAATCAAATTGGACCACTGGAAAGTGGATTGATTGAAAAAACTGATTACGGCCCTGTTGGCGTATGCTTAATGGCTGGAACTAGTCTTCATTGATGCCACTAATTATCTAGAAATGTTTGGTAAAAAAAAATTATAAAATGTAATCAATAGAACCTGATTTAATTGAGAAAAATTGATTACGGCCCTTAATTAATTGAAAAAATGGAATAGGGCCCTTTTGGCACATGCTAAACGGGTAGAACTAGTCTCCAAATAGGTCAATAATTATTTAGAAATTTTTGGCAAAAAAATAAGTCGATAGAACGTAAATTAATTGAAAAAATAGAATACGGCCCTTTTGGCATATGCTAAACGGGTGAAACTGGCCTTCAAATACGCAATTAATTATTTAAAAATTTTTGGTAAAAGAACGAATCAAATCGGATCGCTAGAACACGAAATAATTGGAAAAATCGAATAAGGCCCTAACGACATGTGCGCAGATGGTCAAAATCCAGTTTTCAGGCATTCCCTTGATAGTTAGGGTTGCGCACACCGCGGAAAAAGCAGCTTCGCTGTCCCCGCCTGAAAAGAGTTATGGTATAGTTAGGTACTTTTTGAATTTCTGATATCACCCGTTTTTGACCCTAAGGGTTGTTAGTTGAGTGATAGATAATGTCCAACTTGAAAGTATTATGGGGCTATGGGCTGGAATGTTTTTAAATATATTATTAAACATATAGGTATGTAGTTAGTCGGCAGTGAAAATATCCATGCATGTTTATCAACGATAAAATGTAAATGCAAGTCCAAGCTTGTTGTTTTTGCTAGAACGGAAACGCTTATCAGTTATAAGTAAAAATAACCGTGAAATATGATACCTTCGTTTGTTCCCACATTAAACGTCGGCGGCATGCTGATTTATGAATTTATTTTATTTACCACTATGGCATCCTGTATTAGAACACAATAAACTTTACTTTATGTAGGCTAGATGGCGCCACGGACCCGCACTTACGTAACCCACGTGACCCAGGTCGCTATAACGTCATCGCAGAACCCGAAACGACTCAAAACTCCCGCTATGACGTCATGACGTTTGACAGATGACGTTTGACAGGTGACGTTTGACAGATGACGTTTGACAGATGACGTTTGACAGATGACGGTTGACAAGATGGCGGGAAAACATTTCCCCCCTCCCCTCTTTCTGGTACCCATATTAAAATCCGGGGCCCCCTTTTTGGGGGGCGGAGCCCTGCGGGCCCCCTTTTTGGGGGGCGGAGCCCTGCGGGCCCCCTTTTTGGGGGGCGGAGCCCTGCGGGCCCCCTTTTTGGGGGGCGGAGCCCTGCGGGCCCCCTTTTTGGGGGGCGGAGCCCTGCGGGCCCCCTTTTTGGGGGGCGGAGCCCTGCGGGCCCCCTTTTTGGGGGCGGAGCCCTGAGGACCCTCTTTTTGGGGGCGGAGCCCTGAGGGCCCCCTTTTTGGGGGCGGAGCCCTGAGGGCCCCCTTTGGGAGGCGGAGCCCTGCGGGCCCCCTTTTTGGGGCAGAGCTCTGTAGGCCCCCAACTACAGCATCCTGTAATACGAATTTCACACTATCTACGCTAGATGGCGCCAAATACGAATTTCACACTATGTATGCTAGATGGCGCCATGACGTTTGACAAGATGGCGTCGACGACGCATCTACCTTCGTGTCAATGCTGACGCATCCACCACGTGTCAAGAATGCTTGGTCCTTGAACCCGCTTTGACTATCTACTAACACAACATTTTTATTTAAGTAGTACTGCTATGATGAAAATATTCACATATATGCCTATGACGTAACGCCTTGTTTTATTATTGTCGCAGGTTTAATTGTTTACTCTAAAGATAAATAGTTTATCAGTATTGCGGCTGGACGGCTCAAGCAGTGTAATTTCCTGTGCGACGCGTTAGCCTTATTTTTGTTTTTGTTGGTCGTGTTAATATAATTTAGCAATATATTGATGATAGATAATGAATAACTGAAGCAAAAATTCCAGGAAAATCCTCATGGAAAAAACTTTAACGGAATTATTTTTGCAGAAAAATATTTGTATAAATGAGTCATGGGTCTAAGTAATGTTGACAATAAAAGTCACTCGAATTAGCGGCGATTTTGATCCGAATACGAGCGAAGGTACCTAAATAATTTAAAAAAATCTTCGGCTTGTTTTTTATATTGAGACGAGAGACCTCAGCCTTCTGACTGATTAAAGACTTGTTAGGACTTGCTTATCGCAGGAAGCCAACGTAATAAGCAACAATAAAATTGAAACGATGGCCCATATTTCTAGGAAAAGTTCGCTGGCGTGTGCAGATGGATACGAAGCTGGTGATTGGCTTCAGACTAGTCAGAGCTTGTTTATCGCAGGTCACAGGAAAATAACAAGTTATGGTTTCGCTGCGGTTGCAAAAAATGATGACGACCCGATGGCGAAACGACGTTCTTATTATTAGTTACGTCATCATCAGACCCGATGGCTGAACGACATTTTTATTATTAGTTACGTCATCATCAGACCCGATGGCGGAACGACGTTTTTATTATTAGTTACGTCATCATCAGTACAATGCACCTTGAATGAGGTCCCAAGTCACGAGGTGCTATGTGTGTTCGATGAGCCGCTTGGAGCCAGGTACGGGCAATGACCCTGAACGCAGCGGCAGCTGACCAGTTAGTGCGACCAATGAAAGACACGGGAACTGAAAAGGGGGCGGGGTTTAGCGGCAACGACTGCCTGGCAGGCTGGACGGATGACCTTGAACGGTACAAAAATTGCCAGAACGGACCTTAGATTTTCTTATGGAGATTTACATGGGAAAATGGGTGAAAGTGTGCTCGAACTGTCATAGCTCCTTTACTGTATGCCTAGCAACCAAAACCATTCACCTAGAAGTAGTCAGTAACATGACAACAGAGGCATTCTTGGCAGCACTTCGACGTTTCACAGCCAGAAGGAGACATTGTGCGAATATGTACAGTGATAACGGAACTACATTTGTTGGAGCAGCACGCCTATTCGGAGATGAAATCACAAAATTGATACTATCACAATCTGTGCAAAACACAATCGTCAACTTAGGAACACAATGGCACTTCATTCCACCAGCAGCCCCACATTTCGGAGGAATATGGGAGGCAGGTGTAAAATCTATGAAGCACCATCACAAGAGAGTAACTGGAGACTGCACTTTGACCTATGAAGAATTAACAACGTTGGTGAATCAAATCGAAGCATGTTTGAACTCAAGACCACTCTACCCGCTAACAGATGACATAGATGATTTCAACATTTTGACTCCAGAGGGCCCGGATTCCGAAGCCACGGTTCGATAGTATCGTCCATATAAAATAGATAGACGATACTATCGAATCGTGAGTTCAGAATCCGGGCCCTGGGCCCGGATTCTTTCTCATAGGAAGAGAACTTTTAGCACCACCAAACTTGGAAAACATTTTAACCTATCTCAACGATGGAAACACGTGCAAAAGTTAAAGAAAAACATTTGGAGCGCATGGTGCACAGAATACCTCACCAGACTGCAGCAAAGATACAAATGGAAGAATCAGACCAACAATCTACGAGTAGATTCTTGGTGGATTCATCGAACTACCAAAAAAGAAGAAAATATAAACCCAAACCAAACCAATGGTCTTTGGGAAGAATTATAGAAACTCACTAGGGAGAAGATGGAGGAATCCGAGTGGTAACAATAAAGAAAGCAGGTAGCTCACCACAAAAAAGACCGATCCACAAGTTAATCCCATTACCGACAGAAGACATACCTACACCATTTACCAACCACTCAAAACCACTCAGAGGTACAAAGACCATATCGACTACAATTGATAGAGGGATTTTTAGGATAGAGACAACGTATCGTAAGAATAAAACTGAAACGTAATTATCAGAGGTATCCACAGCCGTCAGCCAATTCAAAAATATGTGCAACGAATCCAAGAAACTCACCGATGAACTCAAATGCACATCCCTCGTACAACATTCACAAGAAATGGAAAATCACTCCAAATAGATATTTGCGACCATGGCCGACATTCACCACAGAGGTATAAGAGAGGATTATTTGCAAAATTTTTGACTGCGGTTTTTGGAGTGAATGACGAAGTAAGTATATCAAGATATCGAGACAAAGTTCATGATCTCGGCCCTCACAAAATTCAACGAAACAGAAGCCAGAATCGCGAACAAACTACAACATTTCTAGAAACGACTTAACGAAGGAAAAGAAACTATCAACAGCATGCAGAGTTGGTACAAGCAAATAGACACTAATGCCCTTAACATTCACCTATTGAGTGCATACCAAGTAGCTACCAACTTTATCAGCAAAACCAATGAGTACTATGATAAATTGCTGAACATCAACTTCAACAGCATAATATCAACGCCGTCATTCAAAAATCCAATCTAAAGCTTCCAAACAATCTAAAGATTCTTTCAGCAGCAGTGTCCACAAGATTAATCACCAATAACCAACAACACGCACCTCAAGGAAGGTGTGTGGATATTTTTCAATAGTTGACGTGACGGCATTCACCCTATTGAAGGCAATACCGATTCCACTCTAGAATTGAGAATGAAACATACTGGGCGTTGGACCTTCACGATGCTCAACTAAGCCGAGTTGGGCAAGCGTAATCTGCGAGCTCCCGGCAATTTGGTAACGTTTCATATCCCGAAAAAAAACTATACATTGTATAGCATATCCATTTATTGAAAAAATAAAATAAATATAGGAGATTCTTGTAAATATAATAAAAAATACTTGCAAACTTAATACTAATATTCTAGATGCGACTGCAAAACCGAACTTCATTAGAGAGGCTATGCAGTCGCTGCTCCGCCTATTATGCGTTGTATTCTTTGTACTAATTGTCAAAAAAATAATAATATTTATGTAATACAAAAGGATGTGCCTCCTAACAAGATAAGATCTGCAAATAAATTTACATCAATTGTAATCTAAAAATAATAACCCAAAGAGAAAGTAAACGATTTGAGCAACAAAAAAAAACAATTATCAGTGCACAACTTAATGTTGCCAAAATTTCAAACATTAGTAGTTATTGAAGCCCAAAGAACCCAAGTTTTGGTTTAAAAATACTGTCTAATGTGGCTTCAACTATAGGAACATTTTAGTTAAAATCTAGTTAGTTAGATTTTTCAAAAAATTATACTACAAAATTTTGGATGTGGTAAACTTTCTACTTTCTACATAGTGTGGGGAAAAACAAACACCCAACTAAGTACATACATCACAGTAAATCCAAAATAAGAAAATACACAAATGTCAAACATGAGATTTCAATAATTGTGAGCAAAAAAAAATTCTCTTACTTCAATTGAGTATCTAAATAGATTTAAGAAGGCACAATGTATCTTAATTGAGTTATTTAACTAAACTTATTTCCAGTCTTATTTAATTGCTGATAGTTCTGAAAATTCTGCCACATTTTTCCTTGATAAGGATCGGTAGGAAAATAGCTGGTCCAGCAGAGATTCCATATAATACACATTGCCATCAGAAATACGTAAATCGTAATAGACACCCACCAGATGATTCTTTCGGCTCTGGTTACTGAGAGGTTTCTGAGGATGTTTATTCCAACTAAAAGTCCAGCTACAGCACCTAGAATACCGAATGTTTTCAAAAAATTGTTTTTCCTCCAAAGCATAAATAACTACTGATAAAACCCTTCCATTTGTTATGACTTGTGTGTTGTTTAAATTGAGATGTAGGGTTTTATTGTAGTTGTTGGATACAAAATCTATTGTTAATTTCAAAGTTAGTTTAACCATTTCAACTGTTGTATCCTGTAATTTCTCAAATCTAGGGATATTTTGATTTGATTTGACTTGTATGAGAAGCGGCTCTTTCTACATACAGGATGTCAATTTTAAAACGTTCAATGCGTGTAAGTAAGAACATAACTTGGTACAAATAATGTTATACAGGTAGGGCGAACTAGAACCACCATATTTTGATCATGGGGTAAGTGACCCCTTTAAACCCCATGCACTTTAACCGCAACATTTTAAATGGCATCCCCCCTTTTGTGATACCTAAAATCAAAAATTTTTGAGTAGTATCCACCTGTACAAGATTTTTTTCTAAAATTAATACAGAATTAAAAAGAGTGGTGATGTCATTTAAAATTTTGGGGCAGGGGTGCATAGAGCCCAAGGAGCAACTCACCCCATAGTCAGTCACAAAATGATCCTTGTACGTCGTCAAATGAGGCAGATATTGTGAACGAAAACACAGTGTTAAATAAATGTAATCAAAATATGGGTCGGGTCTTGTTGTTGTGTGATCAAATGGGTACAGGTTTAGAGTCAAAATTGCATAAAGATCTATCTTCTAAATATTCAGTGCAAACCATTATAAAGCCTTTTGCCCTATTTGAAGACATTGTGAAATGCACATCAGCCCTGACCAGTGATTTTGGCAGTAATGACTATGTAGTGTTTCTTGCAGGGTATAATGACCTTTGTAAAAATTATCTGCCTCGTATTAGTTATTTCTTAGATATTTTTAAGTCCTGTATCCAAACTAAACTTTGTCCAAACTAATGTCATCGTATTATCTGCTCCAATTAGTTCTAAATATAGAAACTTAATCCATATTTTTAATAATAAGTTGATGAATCTTTAATCATAATAATATGTAGTTTTGAAAAATTCTCACAAAGTAATTTTTATGAATAGCTGTAGTATCTTAGGAACGAAGCATATAAATTCGGAATTATCGGGACTGATAAGTGATGCTATGGTAAAATTTTCTAACTGTAAAGCTCTATTGAAATTAGTGATAGAAACAAGAAACAACATGCCCTCTAGTGACCCCTTCATTTTGAACATAGGTACTAATTCTGATCTGAGCCAAGTTTCATTGTCTGAGGGTGACGGTTCGGCACTGATCTGCATTCGCCTACAGTATCTGACCTGAATTTTCGTCGGGGTCAATACAACACAATTAATTCATAGATAACAAAACTTTTATTTTTTATCAGAACTGCAGGAGCATTGAAACCAAGTTAAATACCCTTAAAGTTAATATGCTTAATAATGACTATGATATTATAGCTCTAACGGAAACGTGGTTGAATGATTCGATTGGTTCTGCGGAATTTAGCTTTGGCAACAGGTTAACTTTTAGAAAGGACAGGGATTGGCTGTCAACGGGTAAGAAACAGGGTGGAGGAGTTTTGTTATCAATTAAGGCTTGTTTGGCGGTATCGGAACTAAAGATATTTGATATTAATCAAGATGCCTTGTGTGTATTCAAATTAAGCTAAATCATAAGTTATTTTTCAATGTTGTCGTAGTTTATTTTGTCCCCAATAGTCCAAGTGGAGATTATGAAAGGTTTTTTGAGCAGATTGAATCCAATTTGATCCGGAATAACTGGAACTGCATAACAATTGGTGATTTTAACATTCCGAGTTATATTAATGAAAATTCTTGTAATGTTAGTTAAAATATTTTAAGGTCGTTTTTTAGCTTTCAATGACTTCATACAATTTAATCAAACCAGAAACATCAATAATGTTATTCCTAGAATTAGGCATTGCATCTTTTGATAGTGTTAAAGTTCACAGAACTGTTGACTTCCTCTTGCCAATAAACCAACATCATCCATGTCTGGAAGTATGCACAGCACTGCAAACTAAAATCTACAACTAAATTAAACTTTAGGAAAGCAAATTTTTTATTGATGTATCAAAGTTGGGAAGCTTTAGAAAACAGTTATGATGTGGACTTGGCAGTGGATTGTTTTTATGATGCTTTTGAGTGGCATATTTGAAAAATGTGTCCCACAGTCCACTCAAGTGGGTAAGAGGTATTCTGTCTGGTTTAATTGTTAAATAAATGAGCTAATAAAACAAAAACAAAAATATTTTATAAAATCTAAAAAATACAAATCACAAGATTGGAGGTGGAAATATAGTTCATTATGTACTATCATTAAAGAAAAGATTAGGCTTGCTCATCAACAGTATCTGGAGGATGTAGAGAGGAGTTTGAGAGTAAATCCGAAATTTTTCTGGTCATACCTGGAGGAGCTTAAAGATTCAGCAGACATACTTGAGGACATGACTTTTGAGAATGGAACATACTCTAGAGCTCAAAATGTAGTTGATGGTTTTGAAGGACCTATAAAAGGTCAGTTTTTGTGGAAGATAATGATCCTGAATATGACACTTTCAAAGTTAAATCATATTTTTGTGATAGACATCTCCCTCAGATATAGAGAGGGCTATCAAAAAAATAAAAGCAACCAGATCCATCGGCCCAGACGGGGCTCCTGCCTATGTTTTGAAGGGATGCTGTGAATACCTTCTAAAATCCTTGGAGATTTTGTTTAACCTAATTTTGAAAACTTCTATTTATCCCAATAGATGGAAAGTTAGTAAAGTGATTCTTATCTTTAAGTCTGGCTCCAGACAGGATATTTAGAATAATCGACCAATTAGCATAGTGTCTGCGGTTTCAAAGATATTTGAAGTGATAATTTTCGAGGTATTGTTTGGTGAAATATCTGGTAGGATCACATCATGCCAGTATGGCTTGTTTCCCAAAAACTCAACTTTAACTAATCTGATCACTTTTTCTTAATACGTTCATGAAACAATAAACAATACATCTCAAGTTGATGTGGTCTATATAGATATGGAAAAAGCCTTTGATAGGATTAGTGTATTGTGTCATTCTCAAGGCTTTGTCTGACATGGATTCGTTCTCGTATATTATAAAGCTGATTCAATCATACCTGACCCAAAGGCATCAGTATGTTGAAGTTAAAGGATGTAAATTGGTAATCTACAAAAGCCACTGATCTCAAAAATAAATGGATAAACAAAGAACGCTTCTAATGCTGCTAAGTAGATACATGTATTGTGCGTGCACAAACTCTGGCCAATGAAAATAGAGCAATTTCAAAATTTAGAACAGTTGTTCGAAAGATAACACACTGCGCAGGCGTTAGGCTGTTCCGTTGCACAACTGTTCGTAGAATATTGACGCCAAATTTTCGCACAAATTTTGCCAATCAAGCCGTATGAATTGTTTATCCATATTTATTTTTTAGATCAGTGACAAAAGCACGATTGGTGTTCCACAGGGCTCAAACTTGAGACCACTACTCTTCTTGGCCGCAATAAATAATATAATGAATAGTGGCTAGAGCCTTACTTTCAGCAGATGATTTTAAGTGTTTTCTTCGAATAGACTCTACTGATGACTGCGAAACTCTCGAAAATGATTTCTGTAATGTAGCCTCTTGGTAGAATACAAATGATTTTAAATTAAGCATGATTTGATTCGCTATGACTATACACTTAATGGTTCGCCGCTTCATAGAGTCGAAAATCAAAAGGACCTTGGTGTCATTTCTGATACGTCATTATCCTTCTCTAAGCACATTACTTCGAAAATAGACAGTGCGCAGAAAATATCTAGTTCCATAACAAGAAACACGAAAAATTTGAATACTGATTTAAGTTTGCACCTCCTTGATACCCTTGTTTTGCCAATTTTGGAGTATGGATGCATTATCTGGCCACCGCAATATGACTTACGGACAACATATGTCGAAAGGGTGCAAAGGAAATTTCTGAAGTTCGTTTATTTAAGGGCTTATGGAGTCTATCCTCCTCGGGAGTGTGATGGTGAATACCTCCTTGGTATCTTTGGTGGATTGTCTTTGAATGAGCGAAGAATTAGAATCGTACTTTATACAGTGTTTAAGTTGCTTAAGGGTGATATTGACAGTCCTGATATTCAAACACAATTGCCATGTGCAGTGAATCCTGCTAATTCATGTAATTCTAATGTCTTTCATTTAATGCGTCCTCGGACAAATCTCTACAAAAATTCGCCGAATTACAAAATGTGTAATACATTCAATTTGTATGCTTCCAATATCGACATTGATAACGTTTATTTTAAAATGTTTAAAAAACTAGTTGATAGGAAATTGTTTAATGTAGTTTAGTTCAATTCTTTTCTGTCTAGGTGTTGTGGATATGTTTATATCGAGGTTTATATTTTTATGTTATATTTTTTAATTAGGCTGGTATCTGTAATTGGCAAACTGCTGCTGTTGATACTGTATTGAATAAATAAATAAAATAAATAAATAAATAACCAAAATATGGTGGTTCTAGTTCCCCCTATCTGTATAACATTTGTTCCTAATTACGTTCTAATAACTTTTTTACATTCAAAGATATTCCCATTGAAAGTTTTCAAATTGACGCTCTGTATAATATTATGTAATATCAGAGACATAAACGTAATATATCATTTTTGTCCTATAACAAAAAAAATATTTGCATAGAGAAGATGATAAGGTTTTCATAAAAACTTTTATTTTACGGCTGCAAAACCAAGCTAAAAGATTAACTTTCACGACATAGGGATATTAAAAAAATATCAGCAACCTGGACTAAAATGCGAAAACGCAAACCCAAAAAAGATAATGGCAATGACCAATAAAAACACAGGAAACAGGCGAAGTGTGAGACAAATTAAAACTTTTATAGTGTCATATAATAACTTTTACATTCTACTTCTTACCTGCAAAATGAGCCACATATCCAATACTCTGCACTTTATCTAGCACATATCTATAATAAACTGCTGTTCCAATATCAGTCCCAGCAACGATGAAGAATACCAATAGTTGTGCCAAAGGAAAGGACATTTCATGCCAATTCTAAAATAAATTCAAGTTGAAATTTTCATAACACAGTATTTAAGAGATAATTACCATAATAATTGAAGCTATGTGCGCAGTTATCAAAGAATAAACTCCTCCGCTGGCTCCGGCCAACTTCACATAAGGGTCAGTAATGGAAGTTGCTAGAGAACCAGCCAAAACTCCAGCAAAGTAGACAACTAATACTCTCCACCAACGATGTACCATTTCCAAGGGGATTCCTAGTAGAATTTGGACGGCTAAGTTTACTAGGAGATGAAAAACTCTGAAATAATATTAAATTATTAATAAAAACTATAACAGAAGAAATCAGTAACTTGATCATAATAGAGAGATTTTAAGCCCCATATTTTGTCACTTCTTTGTGATTATTTTTTATTGTGATCGTACATAGTACTTATTTTAAGGAGAGTAACTTCTAGACTCTGGATATTTGATGATCATAACAACCACCAAGAGTTATTTTTGCTGGATTTAAATTTATCGATTGAGTTACGAGTCACATAGGTAGAAGGCAAAGGTATCGAGAAGTGCATAACAAAATTTATGTGGAAATTTATTAAAGATATTGTTTTTCAAGACAAAAACTCTATTTAAGCTTCCACATAAAATTAAGTAACACATATTTAATGGACATCAAAACTGTTGAGTCAGGGTTGGATCTAATATATAAAATAAATATGTATGTACTGTTACTCACCCTATATGAACAAACATATAAGTTACAAATCTCCAAGCCTCGTATCTCTTATAGGGTTCATAAATAAAGTAAGTAGCAGTAGGTCCACTAGCATACTTTGTCGAATCCCTCTCCGTAGCTTCATCAATACAAAAAAAGATAATTTCCACAAGTGAAATAATAATCATTCCAACTGCTGGTGGGTAACAGGAATACTCTTCCTCGTATTCTCCATCGGTGACTGTGTGAGATGGGTGGGTAGTTTTTGGAACTATCCAATTGATGTAGCGATTGAAGTAATGTCCAAAAATGTTGCTCAGTTCTGGGTTGTTTATCATTTCAATGAATTCTTCAAAATCGAGTCGTCTGTCTCCATCTTTGTCGTGTAATTCGTGGATTTTTTTTACGCAGTGGATGGGAATATCTTGCTCATATTCTCTGCTTTCTATCATGGCATTAAGCTCTCGGATGGTGAGAAATCCATCTCTATCTCTATCAAACTATAAATAAAGATATACTTAATGTTTGCATCAAAAAAAAAAAATTATTGGCAAGAATTGCAATGGTAACAGAGATTACTACTAGCAATTAATTTTGAAAATCGTAGAATGCTGTGGAGATTGCTACAGAGAAATTGACAAACATATTTGATGGTATTTTAACGAGATAAAGGCACGAATAGATTCATAGATGACCTTAATAAACAAAAGATGATGTAAAGTTCCCTAATTCAGACCAAAAAAGTTAAGTTATTGCACTAGAATGAACTTGGAAAATTGCACTCAGTCGTGGAACTGCTGTTATACAAGGGTGTCCCAATGGAATAATAGAAAGTGAAACTCCAGTTGTTAGTTACCTGCAGGTTCTCTTTTTTTTTTATTTGGTCGTAAATTATTTTGACACTTTTACACAGCAAGAAACGACTAGAAAAAATTTTAATCAATATTTTAAAGGAAACACTGTGTATCTCATAAAGGTAAATAAAAGAGTAAGGAGTTGTGTCTAAGGACCTTATGTACCAATAAACATTGGTCAAAACCCCAGTCAAAACTTCAAGTTTTAGCAGTAAAAAATTGAAATAATCGGTTTTGGTTGCAAACCCATGATTGGCTATTGGAAAAAAATATGCCCTTCGAACAAAATATGGCGGAAAAATAATTGCTTGCAATAGCAAAGCCATACGGGTTCAAATATTGTAATCGTATCATAGATGAAAAGACAATAAAGCGTGGAATAATAATAATTATCGATCTAACGCATTGCAATGAATCCCATCGAATTAATTTGGGCACAAGCCAAGGGGTATGTTGCAAGAAGACACGCAAGTTTTAAAATAAAAGATGTTGAAAAATAGTTTCAGGAGAGATTTCAAGAAGTAGATGCTGATAAGTGGCAAAAACATATTCTTGGCATAGAGGAAAGGATTTGGAATCTGGATAATTTAATTGGGCAACCCGGGGGGCGGTCAACTTCTTCAAAATGTGTACACCGATTTAAAATCACTCTTGATTTTAACTGATTTAACAGATTTGATCGGATTTAAGAGATTTTTATTCAGACCTTAACTGATTTAAGGTGATTTAAGGTAATTCAAAGATTTAGTGGAATATTTAAAAAGATTTAAGCTGATCTAGGAGGATTTAACCTGATTTAGGAAGATTTAACCTGATTTAAGAATATTTAAATGGATTAAAGATTTTTTTAAGATTTGAATCTCGATTTGAACTGATTTAACCTGGGATGATTCAAGGTAATTAATTTAATCCTGAGAAGATGAAAATGTATCTAATAACCAGATATTTTAGTGCTAATGGGTACTTTCGCTCTCATAATAGTCCAATTTAAATTTTGAACTAATAAAAAAAATTCTCAAAGTAATAAAGTTTGTGAGGCTTTTGCGGCCCAGGTTTATTGATAAGGTGTTTTTTTACTCGCGTGCGCAAAGTAATCACTTTGCACACTCATTTGCGTGCGCAAAGTTGAACTTTGCGCACGGAAACTCTTTGCGCACGGAAACTCTTTGCGCACTCATTTTTGTTACGCATATTTACCGTAGTTATACTTGAATTTTCAATGTTTTGATGGTTTCTGCCTGTACTGCTAGGAATTTGTAGAATTTTTGATATTTAAGAGACTCCCATGAAAATATTCTAGCTGGTATTCTAGAAATTCCAGAAGATTTTAAAAGATTTTTCGGGATTTAATTTAGAAGACAATCTGAGGAATTCCAATAGATTCTAAACGATTTTGATTTGATTGATTTTTCTAATATTTTAACAATTCAAAGTCTACTTTTTTAAGATACTCGTAGAAAAAATATTGTTCCTAACACTTGCGCAAAGCGTCTTTCCCGCACTCAAAGCTTATCTGAACTCCGCTTCGCGTCGTTCATCTAACTGGTTTTTCGTGCGGGAAAGCATCACTTTGTGCACTTGTTAGGAAAATAACTATTTCATTCGGGCTTAATGGCCACCGTAAGTTGGAATTTCTTCCTTTTTCTTAGGAAGAAATTCCAACTTACGACGGCCATTTAACCCAAACACCCGAGAATACACATGCGCAAGCCGCAAACGAATATAAGCGATTGCGCCTCGAGGTTTGTCGAGTTGGAGTCGCCCAAAGTTTACGCGGGATTTTAACCATTTTTTTATCGATTTGAAATGATTTATGGAGATTTATGAAGATTTATGAAGATTTAAAAGGATTTAGAGAGATTTAATGAGATATAGAAAGATTTGACGAGATGTAGAAAGATTTAAAAGGATTTAAACAGATTTAACTAGATTTAAAAAGATTTAAAGGGATTGTAAGAGATTTAAGAAAATTTAAATTGATCTGACCTGATTTAACGTGATTTGATATGATTTATGAAAAAACTAAGGTGATTTAAGGGAATTTATTTAGGGATTTAAAGTGTTCCGATTTTTAGAGATCTAATTGATTTAAAAAGATTTGAGAGGGATTTAAAGAGATTTGAAGGGATTTAAAATGATTTAAGTCCATTTGTACACCGATTTAACAGAGTCAACCGCCCCCCGGGGCAACCTTTGGTTATTAATGTAAATGATAACAGTTCTTCAGCAGGAGAATAATTTTTGAAAAATAAGTAAGGAAGAATCCTGGGAAGAATTATAAAACAATTATTTTTAATAGGATGTTCCAACTTTATAGTATTTTACATTATTAGCCAGGTAAAACAGTTTTTACTGGCGATTGAAGGAAATAACTAGCGAGCCGTCAGGCGAGCTTGTCACCTTCAAGAGCCAGTAAAAACTGCTACCTGGCGTATAATGTACAATAATTTATTTGTTACTCATTTGTAAAACATATAAGTAGGGACAAATAAAAAAATAATACATAACATTTTGAAATTTTTATGTTTTTTTTTCTTTTTTTTTTATACAAGCTTTGGTAATAGGTGTAACTATGAGAATCAGATGCTGTTAATTCGTTGTTTCTAGTTATATTAAATAGGTTTTGTGACAGGTTTCCATTTTGCAATTTTTTCCCAGAAATGAATGTGCTAGAAGATAGTCTTTGTTAATGAAGCAGCAGTCATAGCTAACAGTTTGTCACCAGAAAAGTCTTCCAGAAGGTACCTACAAGCAATTATTCTTGGAATAAAACTGATTCTTAAAAAAAAAAAAAAACCTACTGACTTGTAAAAAGTTTTTACAGTTTAGCTGTCAATTTTACAAGTCAGTAGAGCCAGTAGCTGGTAAAAATCAATTTTCGTTGTTTATGTTTTGACTTGATAAGTGACGTTTTACAAATGAATGACAAATAAATGTGTTTATTTGTCACTCATTTGTAAAACGTCACTTATCAAGTCAAAACATAACCAGCGAAAATTGATTTTTACAAGCTACTGGCTCTACTTACAGTGGCTAAATAAACCTTTACATACAGTGGCGACAATAGAGGTCCCGCCGCCATCTTGTTCCCAGCCTCTTGTTACCTTTAAATATTAATATATAGGATTTAAATGAACATCTATCATAGAAAATTGAAATTGTACGTACTTGATGACCATTATTAGGTCCATCAAATACGTGTTTTCCATGATTTATGATGGATGTTCACCTAAATCCCATATATTCATATTTAAAAGTAACAAGAGGTTGGGAACAAGATGACGGCGTTTTCAATATAAATATATGGGATTTTTGAACCAATCAAAAATGAGACAGCAATTGTCGCCACTGTGGGTAATAGAGTCACTGTAGCTCTACTGACTTGTAAAATTGACAGCTAAACTGTAAAAACTTTTTACAAGTCAGTAGAATTATTTATTTTTGAAAAATCGGTTTCCTCACAAGAATAATTGCTTGTAGGTACCTTCTGGGAGACTTTTCTGGTGATAAACTGTTGGCTACGACTGAGGCTTCATTAATAATATCTTGTAATAAATTCATTTCTGGAAAAAAATTGCAAAATGGAAATCTGTCAAAAAACCTATTTATAACTAGAAACAACGTCTTAACAACGTATCATTCTCATAGTTATACCAACTACCAAAACTTCTGTGAGAAAAAATCAAGGAAAAACATATAAATTTCAAATTTTTGTTATGTATTGATTTTTTATTTGTCCCTATATCTTTTACAAATGAGTAACAAATAAATTATTGTACATTATACGCCAGGTAGCAGTTTTTACTGGCTCTTGAAGGTGACAAGCTCGCCTGGCGGCTCGCTAGTCATTTCCTTCAATCGCCAGTAAAAACTGTTTTACCTGGCTAATAATGTAAAATACTCTTACATGTTTCACATTGTAAAACCTGTAAACCCATTGTTTGGCGAAGGGATTTTTTGGGTGGAAAAAGAGATTCGAGTGGGTTTACTCGAGAAAGTTTGTAAAAATTGTTTATGTGTATACAAGTGTGTAGGTATACGAATGAGGCTAATTAAACCGTTCGGTCACTCTAGAGTAAGGGCTTTAGGGATTAAAATTTGGTGGGTTTGATTTGTGTTGGAATGGAAATAAGCCAAACAACAAAAACACTAATTATCTAGTTCTTAAAAATTCATGTTAAATAAATTCTTACTTTATTAAATATGCCTCTGAAATAATCATCAGTCCTGTTTCTAGTTTTCAAAGGTATTCTCACAGGAGAACTGTCCTGGCTCATCTTGAATTGATCAAACTGCCTCTGTTTTAGGAATTTTAAATCAAACCTTTATCAGATAATCTATTTTATACTATATTTATCCGGTTTCTCCAGATTTCTTTCAACTATCCAATAAATATTGAAGGTTTTGTGCTATAGCTATAATTTACAGTTCATTGTCTTGACACGACAACAAAAACAAATAACATAACCTTATTTCTTTGTTTGTTTGTGGTGTAGGTTTGTTTGTTTTTTTTCCCTCCACTCCACTGAACTAGTGCTAGTGCACGAAGGCGTTTTTGTTAAGCGGTTAGTGCAAATAATGTAGGGCGATTGTCATTTCAGTGTAGTGTGCTCATTCTTGCACTACCTACACCTACTCTAGAATACACTAGCAGTCTGCATTGAATCAGAGCTGTTTTCTTGGGTTCTTTTTTTTAAAACTGGTTCAAAACAGTATATTTTCGCGATAAACCCATGAAGTAACATCAAAATTGGTTAAATGGTCGGTTCAAGCTCAGGTTCAAATCGTTTCGAAATACAATCCAATTCACGTTTTCAAAGCATTTTCTAGCTCCGAGAAGTTATGACGTCATGTGACACAGTTTTAAACCAGTTTTGAAAAGCGTTTTAAAACATTTGAGGGTCGGTTTCTCAATAGTTGTATTCCTTTCACACCTAGGAGAAGCTCCGGAACAGCTTCGGGGCGTTACGCGCCTATTTACTATGTAATTTGAGTTACGATAACATAAACTAATTTTCTATATAAAAATGAGTATTCCTTTCGAAAAATGTTCGTTGCACCACGCATCTGTTCCTTTCAAATCGGGCGACTAACACCGAAGCGAGTAGCTCGAGTGTTTCAAGATCTTGGAAGGAGGACAACTAAGCGAATCACCTACGGTTTCTCCGGTAAACGTGTCCAGTTGCCAAGGATAATACACACTACTACTAAAGGATAGCCTATCTTCATAAGGCCTGTCTGGAACAAATCCCCCTCCCCTTCCATCAGGACCGGCCAAATCACCAGTTGTGACGTAGCGTAGGCAGCTTGCCTGGACGTAAGCTGTTTGCACTACAGGTTATGGATTATGATTCCGCGAACTTTTGCTTTATGTATAAGTACTTGGTTTTATAGGATTTTCACGCTATATTTAGGATGACGTCACATTTAGTAAATTTCTGCTGCAAATCTAAAAAAACTAAAAGTACTTGTGAAGTACTTCTTAACGCATTTAAAGTAGGGGAATTTCAGATGTTTCTGGTTGGCAACGGCGCGCGATGTTGCATGATTTAAATGAACATTTTCAAATAAATAACTCGAGTCGATTCATTTCGTTATTTTTAGCTGTCAGTGGTCTTGATAATTCATTATGACATTCTGGTAAATTATAAGAAAACAAATAGGCATTGACAACATTGTCAGTCCTTGTTCTATGACGTCATCCTAAATATAACGTAAAAAGCCATACTACTAAAACAGCTCTTTTTTAAATCTCGTTTTCATCTTCCTCTTTGCCTATAGACCTATCTATTTTTACCTGATATGCGCGCGCAACACGATGCAATGCCTTTTTATTGGCTAACTAGTACTGTTTCTGCAGAAATCACAAAACAGTCAGGGCGAATTTCATTGGTTGAAACTAATTTTCTGACTGTTTTCAACCAATGAAATTCGCTCTGACTGGTTTGTGATTTCTGCAGAATCAGACCAGACCTTATATTTTGTGGATTTCTGGATTTGAATTTTGGCAGATTTGGTTATTCAAAATGTTATGGTCATGGATTTTTTTCAATGGATGACGGTTAGGGTTGCCAGGGCCGGTATTCTGGTCCTCGAAAAGGCTCACCGCTTTTCAAATTCAATTCAAATTCAAATAAGCTTTATTGTCCTAATTTTTTCAAAAGATCATTGACAAAGCAAAACTTAATTCTAAACAATTTTTTTTCATACCTATTACTACCTAATAATCTATGTCAACACTAAATAATTTCGTCTATAAAAATACAAATATGAAATTTGAAACACAGAAAAACAGTATAAAATTTACGAGCATGTAAAATCAACATTAAGATAAAATCAAAAACATCTACAAGATTATCCGACAAACAAACGAAGTTTTAAAATTTATAAACATGATGTACACTTTAAAAAATTGAACAATTAACAAATAAATAAATAAATAAATACAGATAAACAATCTAAATTGTCCAAACTATCCAGATTACACAAGTCCAGGCTACACAAGACCATCAACAAGACCATCAACAAACCGCGCTTTGGCTTCACCTATTATAAAACTCTCCCAAACTATAAAAAGTCCCACCAATTAAAAATTCTTTAAGCTTTGTTCGAAACCTTTTATATACATTTATCCCATTTTGACGTTTAAAAATAACATTATTGAACGCATAATAACAAAGGTAAGTAGCCGTTTATCACCTGAGGGACTTAAAATATTTTTAACTCACTCTTGGTCTTTAAGTCACTCTGCCAGTATAAAAATCTGCTACAAATACAAACAAACAACTAGTTATGCCATAGTAACTACCAGTTGCAATATTAGATATGCGCTCGCTAAGTGAATTCTTTTTATAATTTGATTCCTATTAAGTACTTTAGTTTTCAAATGTCCATCAAAATGGAATAAAATTTTGTATACATCACGTGAGTTAAAATGTTTATTCATTCGAAGAAAATTACGCATAATAATAAAGGTAAGTAGACGTTTATCACCTGAGTGACTTAAAATATTTTTAACTCACTCTCGGTCTTTTAAGTCACTCTGCCAGTATAAAAATCTGCTACAAATACAAACAAACAACTAGTTATACCCTAGCAACCACCAATTTCAATAATTAGCGCTCTCAACTACTAAAAGAATTCTTTTTATAATTTGATTCCTATTAAGTACCCTATTTTTTAAATGTTCATCAAAATGGGATAAAATTTTGTATACTTCACGTGAGTTAAAATGTTTATTCATTTAACTCACTTGGTGTATAAATAACTATTATTCCTTCGTAAATTACAGATTGTTTTGTCAGAGTAGATTTAGGGATGGGTAACGGTAAGTTGTTATGGAAATTTCCCTTGTGCAAATTACACTGGAAATTTTGCATACAAATTGTCAAAATTAATAAGTGGAAATTTTTGGAAATATCCCGGGAAAAATTTCCAGAATTGTCATTTTTGACATTGATGCCCGCTTTTCCATTTAAAACGCATTGATGTCAGAAATCTGTCAAAGTCTATATTTTTGACAAACGCAATTTAAATGGGAAAGATCAATAACAATCAGTATCAATAAAAAAATTCGACACAACGTAGTAAATAAACTTTAAACTCGGGAAATTTCCTATCAAAATATAACACGTGCATAAAATATTTCCCGAGGGAAATTTTAAAAAATTTCGTCTTTGGTCAATTTTTTCGAACAAAACCATTCGTGCATAGCGCCAAAGAAAAAATCCCTCACCCTTCGGGTTCGGGATTTTTTCAGGCGCTATGCACTCATGATTTTGTTAAAAAATTGGCTTCAGACAAAATTTTCAAAAATTTCCAGAAATATTTTATGCACTAGTTATATTACTACTGGTAACTTCGCAAATTATGAGACTCAGTTCTGTTAAAACCTTGGAATTTTTTATGTATAAGGCAAGCTATTTCCATTATAAAAATTGATGGAACCGTCAAAATTTCTTCCCGTAGAAAGAGTGGTCTACAGGTTTGCTGACAACTAACTCCGCACAAAGTTCTAAGGGCTCCTTTTTGTAAAATAAACACTGATTGAACAGAGGCATGGGTTGAGAATCCCCAGAAGGGTATTCCATATCTGATATGAGATTCCATCAAAGCATGATAAGCTACTTTAGCTATATCTTTGCCCAACTCGTGTAATATATTTTTTATCAAATAGCAGCCTTGTGATAATTTCTTATTAAGTAAATCAATGTGGGTTTCAAATTTAAGCTTAGAGTCCATGTGAAGACCAAGGAATTTAACAGTCGACTTTTCTTCCAGAGATTTATCATTTATTTTAGGGTAATGGTATCTAGTGAGCATCAGGGCCGGATTAAGGGGGGGGCTTTGGGGGCTAAAGCCCCGGGCCCCGAAATGAGGGGGGCCCCCAAAACACCACCTCACGCGGGGAAGAAATCATGCATATAATTTACACCAAACAAAACCGTCGTTTTTAAAATTCGAAGCCCACACACTTCAGGTTTGTTGACATTTCGAACATAAAATCAGGTGAAACCAGATATTTGCATCGGTTTTGTATGCCAGCAAAAACGACAATTTTTCGCACACACACTTCGGTTTTGTATCTTTTTTGCTCGATCAGATTTGCACGTACAACAGAACTGTCCAACAAAAACGCAGTATGTGGGCCCCTTTACATTGAGAGCGTTAACCACCAGTAATTCTGCAATCATAACTTTTTGGCGTTAATATGCATAATATCAAAAATATTTATACGAGAAAGTTGTATAAAACTACTATATCTAGCTGATTACATGGCAATAATTTTTATTTGCCAATTTTTTAATTTTTATTTTGATTTAAAAAACAAATTTTAAAAATGATACTACCTAAGTACGGTGATAGTGGTGGATAATTCAGAAATATTTATTCAAGAAAAAAAATTTCCAAATCAAACAGTTAGTCCAAAATTACATTTTTTTAATCTGCAATAAGGTAAAATTTTGAGTGACGTTTGAATTTATTTCAGGGACCTAGGGGCCCCTTTTGCGAAAATAGCCCCGGGCCCCAAAAGACCTTAATCCGACCCTGGTGAGCATTTAAATGATAGAATATTTGTTTTTGAAACATTAAATACAAGAGAGTTTGCGTCACACCACTCCTTCATTAAAACTAGATCTTTTTCTATGATACCTATTAGACAAAACTGCTGCATCCTTGTGCTTCCATAGAATAGTCGTATCGTCGGCGAAAATTACGAAGACACCAAGTATTGACAAAAGAGAAAGATCATTAATGTAGAGCAGGAAGAGAACCGGGCCGAGTACAGACCCTTGTGGCACACCGCGAGATAGATTTAGAGTTTCTGAGTCCTCCCTGTTTGGCATTCTTACAAATTGTTTTCTCCCAGACAAATACGATCCAAACCAGGCGAGCTCCCGCCATCGGATACCATAATGGCTTAGTTTCCGCAGTAGTATTTCGTGACTTACGCAATCGGTCGCTTGGCACTTC